CCGAAAATTCTCCCGGTTGATTCTATCAGTAGTTTCTTCAACATTCAGTTTATTTCAAACTACCATTAACCCAAGCCCACTACTCAGTATCATACTCAGTGTCGAAATGAACAAGCGCAGGGTCGGAATCAGCATCAGAATCACCTTAGTGATTGGTTTACTCAGTGAAAGAGCTGTCGATTGGAATGTGATCTAACAATAGTACGTTATCGACTTGTTTTCTTTAGTTTCCTCAAGCATGCTCAGATTTGACGATTCGGATGAGTAGGCAAGAAGGAAAACAAACGTATCTATTAGGCGAATGAGCGTAGGCGGGTAGACGACTAGGCGATTGGGAGAGTACGCCTTGATTCATTAGCTCCCCTCTCTGAGCATTGTGGTATTCCCCTATTCGCCTGGTCGACGCATTGTTTCTTTCTGGCCTATTCGCCTTATCATCTTAAAGGTCAACTCTGAACAAGACCTCAGTGGTGAAAGGGGCTTGAATTTCACCATCCATCGCGAGTTTTATAAAGAAGAACTATGAGTCTCAGTTTGTGACTCTCAAACTGCAGCTTTGTTTTGATGCTGATCAATTCTTGGAATTTAATACTTTTCTCGTAGTACATGTTTAGGTACGTGTGTCTGAAGGAACGTAACATGTTGCTCACTATGCAGACGGCTTACATTTCATATGCTCGTTCTATGCCAAATCCAGAACGCATTGATCGGGTTAACGAGGTAAACTGTATTTCCTTCTAATCTTGTATGGAGGTTATCACCTGTCTTCGGGTGGAGGAGTTCGAGAAGGCCACTCCATTCTGCTCTGCGGCTCTAAGGATAAGGCTGAAGACAGACATTGGTAACAGTAGGGGAGTACTTGGATAAAATCCCATATAGAGAAGTTCGTGATGAGGACAGACTGATTCAGCCTGGAATGGCGCGGAGAAGCTTCCTGACCCTAGACCCGGCCCGGGGGGGGGGAAGCTCTAAAGTAGGTGGACCACTGGAAATGTGAAAAAAGAATTAGATGTTTATGATTTTGGACATTTCAGCGGTTCTTATCAATAAATTACTTCAAGTGATCGAGTTCGTATCAAGTTCTTATGCTTACCGCTAGAGACATCCTTAGCCTTACCTCGATCCTTATCGTTCGAGCCGCAGAGCCGAATAAATGCCCCCAACTCCGTTCTCACCACGTTTTTAATTCTCTTTTCAAATTACT